TATTCATGCACCTCAATTTCAGTTCCGTAGAAACTGATGCATTGCAAAATCTGTTCTGTTGCGTAGCGGACCAACCAGCCAAGTACATAACGGTAAGTGAAGATTTAAACGCGCCGTACATTTCGTGGACCTTGTGCCATGTAAACACCAGGTATGCAAATGTGTTTTCATCCTTATATACATACGGATTGACACAGTTTGGTAAAGCTCCCACCAGAAAGTAGAAGAAATTAGGTCTGCTATTTATCATTGACTTAATACCAGCTTACACTGATATTCCGTAACAGGTTCCTAATAGTGCTGTAGAGTAACACAACGTGGTGGCGATTCTCTATTTCCACTATATACTATGACTCTCCAACCTTCATTTTCTTCTGCCGTATGTCTCTCTTAAACCTCGCTCGTCTGTTGACTTCTTCATCGAAACTGTAGGTATCAAATAGTGGACAAACGTCTTAATACTATGGCCGCACCAGCCACCGATTCATTCTTTTCTAGAGCCACTATCTCCGCTTAGCCACAGCTAGTCGCCATAGCTTCCATCCAACTCTGCGGATATCAGGAGATCTGTAGGTGTAGCTCCATTCGTACAATGTTCATAATCTGGATTGCTTGCGGCACAGCTCAGATGTTTTGTTGACCTATTATATGCCACCGCAGGACCCACTAGAAACCAAAGGCTTAATCCGAACTACAATGCTGGCTATTCATCTCTCTACTAGCGCGCCGTTACCCAACTCTGGTCAACTCTTCTTGGCAATTGCTAATCATTGTTGGCTCCATGTAGCTTACAAGTAGCCACTCCCTGACTCTCCAACCCTCATTTTCTTGTGCCGTCTGTCTCTCTTAAGTTTCCCTCGCATGTTGATTTCTTCACCGAAGCTGTAGGTATCCAATAGTGGACAAACGTCTTAATACTATGGCTACACCAGCCACTGGTTCACTCTTTTCCAAAGCCAATATCTCTGCTTAGCATCAGTTAGTCGCCATAGCCTCCATTTAACTCTGCTGATATCCGGAGCTCTGTGGGAGTCGCTCCCTTCTTACAATATTAACTCACTTGGAATGTTTACTTTACAGCTCAGATGGTTTGCCGACCTATTATGTGCCACCGTAGGATCCACTAGTTACTGAAGGCTTAGCCCAAACTCTATTGCTGGTCACTCTTCTCTCTCCTAGCGCGCCATTATCCGTCGTTCATCTTACTCGCCTCAACTTTTCTTGACAATAGCTAGACATTGTTGGCTCCATGTAGCCTACAAGGAGCCACTTCTTGACTCTCCAGCCTTCATTCTCTTCTGCCGTATGTCACTCTTAAACCTCGCTTGCCTGTTGACCTCCTCAACAAAGCTGTAGGTATCCATTAGCAGACAAACGCCTTAATACTATGGCTACAGCAGCCACTGATTCATTCTTTCCTAGAGACACTATCTCTGCTTACCAGCAGCTAGTCGCCATAGCTTCCACTTAACTCTGCGGATATCCGGAGCTCGCTCACTCTTACAATGTTCATTCTCTTGGATTGTTTGCGTCACAGCTTAGCTGATCTGTTGACCTATCACTTACCTTCACTGGCCCATAGATACACTCATCGACCCTATAGGCATACACTAGTGACAAAGCGTCCGATTGGAATAGCTGCATCTGGCGACTGAGTCATTCCTAGCGCCAACATCTGTCGGTCGTCATAAATTCGGCATTTCTCTTCAGAAGTAGCTAATGGCCATCGGCCCCATGCATATGCGATGATCCAGTGCTTGTTAGGAGCCACCCCGTATCTGATTAACCTCTACTCCTCTAGAATATCTGCATCCAGTCCCTCCGTCTTCCGCTCTCTGCTCGCTCCTCCGCTTCTTCTTGTCTACCTATGGGTGCTCTGGACTGTCTCCTGCTTTCTTGTTGCTTCTTGTTCCTCTCCCGCACTGTGTCTACCCGCACGGGCCCCCCTTCTATCTACGCTCTTTAGTGTTCTGCTGTGCTCGTCTACTACCTCTGCCGCTGTTTCCGCTGCTTTTCCGCTGGCTTCCCTCCTCGCTCTCTGCCGCTGCTTATTATATTTGGGGTGGGGGGCGGTGGTGGCTGGGCGCGGGGGGAGCTGCTGCTGGGCGGGGGGTGCGGACTCGCTGGTCCTCCGCTTTCGCTGTTCCGCTCTTTTGCCGCTCCGACGCTGCTCCTCTCCGCTCGCTTGCTCCACTCCGCTCCCGCAGATTCCTGCTCACGCTCTTCTTGGAGCCTGTATACCTCTCTCTAGCTGGCTACCGCATACTCCGCTGCCTGTTCTAGTCCCTGTGTGCTACACAGCTTACGCTGCTCTGAAAACCGCTGTCTCCTTGGTGGCCCGCTCCGCTCGCCTCTATACCTGGCACCCGCTGCTCTGGCTCTTTGCCCCCCTCATATTGCTTTCCTCTCCTATGGGCTGACCTGGAAGCTCCCTCCGCTGATGTCCCGCTTGCTTTGCTCTATATCGCTGTACCGCTTTTCCCTCCCGCTCTTTTGCCGCTTCTCGCCTCCGCTGATCGCCGCTGCTGACCGCTGGCTCCGCCTGCGCTGACTGCTCTGTCACTCTACTGCCCCGCTTGTTTCACTAGCTCTCTCCGGCTCTGCTTTATGGCTGGGTCGAGTCCTGGGGCAGGGGTGGGGCGGTGTGGGGGGTTGGGTGGGGGGGGGGGGGGGTGGGGGGGCTGGAGTCGGGGTAGGGTCCGCGATTCCCTGAGCTTGTGGCTCGACCTGCCCACAGGGGGGGGGGGGGGGGGGGGCGGGGGGGGGGGGGGGGGGGGGGGGGGGGGGGGGGGGGGGGGGGGGGGGGGGGGGGGGGGGGGGGGGGGGGGGGGGCGGGGGGGGGGGGGGGGTGGGGGGTTGTGTGAGTGGTTGTATAAGATAGAAAGATTAAGTTGGTGTGTTTCGCTTATTATGCCCTCTCTCGGATTACACTAACTACGTGCTGTTCATGCACCTGACAATAACTACCCACATTCTAACTCTCTTGCTCTATCCCCACGCAACTATCGACTCATATCAAATGGATACTCGTACCTTACTTACTGGTGCAACGCTCTTGTCCCTACGCAGGCGATAGCAATCCACCTATACGGCTAATGATTCTATAGGATACTCAAAAGACATTTTCAGCATAATTATTGTTGCACAGTGTACATGCTTTTGTCTCAGCCCAAATGTTATAACACAAGACACTAACAATATTCAATTCCATGCCTGTTCTTGCGGTCTTCTCTCGGTTGTCTCCCACTTTCCCTTTTCTCTGAGGTCCGGGACATCTTGGAGATCTGGGATTGGACTGAGGAACAATTTTGCCCAAGACGGACGGAAGAACCCACAAGGACTGACATGGAGGATAGTAAAACTCCGCAAGGACCAACCTACAATCATCATAACCCTTGTCCAGTATGGAGAAATGGACACATCCTCATACTCCCATACATTATACATCTGAAAAATCTGAACAGCGGAAAAATTGAAACTTTTGCTCACCTGGACATACAACAAGAAGAAAAATCGCGATGTCCCTCTCCTCCAGCGACCCCAAAAAATCATGGCGACCCAGAGCAAAATACCCGTCCAACTAACAGAGGAAATTAGAAGCCATTACCCCGCGAAAAACCGAATGTGAAACCAGTCGTCAAGCGGCTTTGCCAGTTCAACATTAATGTTCAAAATGCTTTACGGCAGTGTTGCAGGACGTGGTGGGTTTTCGCCTGGCAAGCGTTCTCCCTATAAAAAGCCACATATGTCTGTTTAACAACACTGCGACGTGGCGGATGTGACTCGCCACTGAATAAAGTCACAGCCCACAACTACATACTGGCAAGTCGACTAGATTCACATATCAACTCCTCTTGACACCGTTTCAACTATACACGATTGAACCCGGAGTATCGTCGTGATACACAACAGTTTTAAACCTTGATCATGCTTAAGTTGGTGCGTCTCTATGAAGCTGAGAATAAACTATCTATTTATTTATTTTACCACGAACATACCACCAATTTTCTACTATTGCTGTCACGGTTGCCATAAAATATTTGTACAGTTGTACATATCTGATCATGCCTCCATGGGCGTGCCTCGCATAGTCGAGAATAAAGTATTTATTTATTTATTTATTTACTTGCATTACTTTTTCAATTAGACGTAAATCTCTTCGGACCTGACTCTAATCTATCCTCGGCTGACCAGTCTCATGTTTCTGACTGCTCCCAGACATCCGAGACGTTATCACTCGAGGCTCTACATTCGAAACACTCTGTTCCCCTCATCTGAAGACCTTTCCTTGGCATGCTAACTGGCTTTTCATATAGTCACTTTCGTCCCGAAAGCTTCTTTTCTTATGACACTCATTACTGTTATTCAAAAGTTAATTTGGCGGCCTAGCTTCATCTTGCTGGCCTATCCGGACTCGTCTGAACGGTCTCCTGCTTGCTGACCCACCTCGGACTTCTGAGATCTCAATGACCTAGGCTCTGCCGACGTAACGTCCTGTATCCCGCAAATGAAATGCATTGTTGGCCCTGATTAATCCTTATTACTATGTCCCCTTTCTCCCTGTACGTGCCTATTCTGCCGAGGCTCTCCTTTATTACTTAGACCTAAATTCTACGGTTTTCACTCTTTGAGCTGATATTCTAATCCCGTCTCAGTGGTCTCTTTGCTTTTGACTACTGTGACCCGATTGATCAGGGATAGGCAGAATGGTCTCCTGATTTCTGACCTCTCTCGGACTTCTGCGATCTAACTGTTCTAGTCACTGCCGACGCAACGCTTTGTTACCCTCACCTCAAGAACGTTGCTGATCGTGACTCATCCTTATTATCATGTCCCCTCTCATCCTTAACGTGTCCATTTCTGCCGATTCTCTCCGAGAAAATTCATAGCTTACTGTTACGCCTTTCTCCTTATGAGCCGACGTTCTAGTCTGGTCTGAACGACCTACCTTCCGACTTCTGTGACCCTAATGATCAGGGGTCGGCAGACCCAATGGTCTGTTCATACCACGTCGGGAATATCGTTTACTTTGCCACTCACCAATAAAACCTTTTCCTTTCTCATTCTGTTTGCATTCCTTTTTCCACTGGTCAGGCACCTCTTCGGGTCTGGCACTACTCTAGCGGCGTCTGACCAGCCTCCTGCTTTCTGACTACTTCCATACATTCCAAACGTTAACGATCTAGGCTTTGCTGTCCTGGTACTCTGTCCCCTTATCCTGAGACCGTTCCTCGACATGCAACTGCCTTTTCATATAGCTACCTGCTTCCCAAACTGCTTTTCTGATGACACTCATTACTTTATTCCCACCTTACTTTGGAGGCCTAGCTTCAGCTTGCTGACTTACCCGGTTCTGACTGTATGCTCTCCTGTCTTCTGACATCTCTCGGACTTCTGTGATCTAATGATCTAGACTCTGCCGACGAAAGTCTGTTACCCTCACCGCAAGACCACCGCTGGTCATGATTGAACCTTATTATCATGTCCCCTTTTTCCTTAACATGTCCATTTCTGTTGATGCTCTCTGTCAGCACTTAGACTTCACTTTACTAATACGATTTTCACCCTATGAGCTGACATTCTGGGCTCGTCTCAACGATCTCGTACCTTCCGACTTCCGTGATCCTAATGATCAGAAACCTGCCGATCCAACGGTCTGTGCACAGCACCTGGAGCATATCGTTGGCTTTCTTTTTCTTTCTCTTCTCACCCATAGAGCCCTTTTTCACACTCTAGTCTGACTTATCTGGTTCTGGCTGTACGGCCTCCTGCCTTCCGACCTCTCTCGGACTTCTGAGATCTAAATGATCTAGTCTCTGCAGACGCAATGCTCTGTCTCCCCCGCCTCCAGAGCACTGCTGCTCATGATTCATCACTAGTATATCCGCTTTTATCCTTAACACTTCTATCCTGTTGACGCTCTGTTAACTTTCTGACATTTATAATACGGCTTTCTCTCCATGAGCCGATATCCTCCTCTCATCTCCATGGTCTCCTGCTTTCCGAATACTGAGCCCATACTTTTGAACCATCGACAGGTCCAAAGGTCTGCTCGCAACACCTCGAGATCTTTGTAGGCTCTTCCACTTCCCCTTAAGTGTCTCCTTCCCGATACATTCTTTCATTTTCGCGCTCTGTCTGCCTTCCTTTATCCATTGGACGGATAACTCTTCGGGCCTGGCTCTACTCTAGCCTCGTCTGACCAGTCTCCTACTTTCTGACTGTTTCCAGAAATCCGAGACGCACGTGTTCTAGGCTGTGCAGTCACAACACACCCTGTCCCTCAGCCTGAGAGCTTCGTTTGACATGCTAACGGGCTTTTTATATAGCCTCTGTAGTCCCGCAAATTTTCTTTTCTCGTGACATTCACTACTGTTATCCCCACTTTAATTTGACGGTCTAGCTTCATCTTGCTGACTTATCCTGTCTCATCTAAACGCTCTTTTGCTTTCCGACCCCTCTCGGACGTCTAAGATCTAAATGATCTATGCTCTGCCGACGTACCGCTCTGTGACTCTCTTCTCATGAACATTACTGGTCGTGATTTATCTTAGTTATTCTATTCCCCTTACCAGCTTAACATGTCCATTTCTGCCGAATGTTAACATTCTGGCAATAATAATATTGCTTTCTCTCTATGAGCCGACATTTTAGGCCCGTCTCAATGGTCTCCTCTCTGACTGCTGTGACCTTATCAATGAGTCATCGACAGATCCAATGGTCTGTTCACAACACCTCGAGACCATTGTACGCTTTTCCACTTCTCCCCAATAGTTACTTTTCCTTTCAGACTTCATTCTTTCCTTTTCGCGCCCTCTTTACATTCCTTTCTCAATTGCTCGAAGAACTTTTCGGGTTTGGCTCTAATCTATCCTCGTCTGCCCAGTCTCCTTTCTGATTGCTTCCAGACATCCGAGACATAAACGATTTAGGCTCTGTAGTCCCAACACTTTTTGCCCCTCATCCTTTGTGCTTTGCCCGCCATACTAACTACCTATTCCGGCGCAACGCTCCGCCACCCTTACCCTAATTACATCACTGGGCATTATTCATCCTTCTTTTTGCTAACAAAGATGAATCATCACCAGATGAACGTCGGCAGCTTTTTCACTTCTCCTCAATAGAACCTCTTTTACCGACTCTCTGCTTACCTTCCTGTGCTTTCTGTTGCATTCCTTCTTCATTCGACGCTAACTTACATGTGTTTGTCCTCCCTGACTTCTTGCATTCCTACCAATTTAGGATTAAGGAAATACGTCTCTGTCGCTTCTTCTGAGTGATATTCCTTCTCATAATCTGCACACCTCGTCCTCCTCTCTCTGGTTCCCACCGATTGAGCATGTGCCTATTTTAGGACCCCCAAACACTCCTGCTTCATCTTCGATCTTTCATTCTTTACTGATCCGTGTTCTGCTCGATTCTCGTCGTATTTCGCCACTTATGATACACGTGTATATGCGGTATTTAAATAACAATTACATGTATAGGGGTACAATAGTTCAGGCATCGCCGCAATTGATCGACTGCATTCCAGATGCATTCCTTTCTTCTGTCTGTGTGGCTGTCTCTGTTCGTTTCCTTTTTTCCCCGAGTTTGTCACAGGTACGGCGACACGCACCAAAGGAATTGTCCACCATTGCGACAACAATACAAGGCACAGTTCCTTTACCTGGACATGAGCGGAAGATTATCAACCCTTTCACAACTTACTAACCGGACAAATCATTCGATATCTTGCACTGATACAATTCTTCCGAGGCTTGAACCATTGGGTTCGATTTGCCTAACACAAACTCTTCCACATATCTCTTGCCTGGAGGACTTTCGACTTCGGAAGGCAAATTCTCCTGCCAATACAAA